TTAACTTATATGCAGAATACATCATGAGAAAGGCTGGACTGGAGGAATCCCAAACCGGAATTAAGATTGCTGGAAGAAATATCAACAACCTCAGATATGCAGATGATACCACTCTGATGGCAGTGAGGAGGACTTAAAGAACCTCTTAATGAGGGTGAAAGAGGAGAGTGCAAAGAACGGTCTGAAGCTCAACATCAAAAAAACCAAGATCATGCCCACTGGTCCCATCACCTCAAGACAGAACTGGTCTCACTCATTACTTCAAGTAAATAAATATATCTATGGCAAAACTAAGATCAAAAACTAAGATCATGTACACTGGCCCTATCACCTCCTGGCAAATAGAAGGGGAAGATATGGAGGCAGTGACAGATATTACTTTCTTAGGCTCCGTGATCACTGCAGATGGTGACAGCAGCCATGAAATTAAAAGACGCTTGCTTCTTGGGAGGAAAGTGATGTCAAACCTAGACAGCATCTTAAAAAGCAGAGACTTCACCTTGCCGACAAAGGTCCGCATAGTCAAAGCTATGGTTTTTCCTGTAGTGATGTATGGAAGTGAGAGCTGGACCATAAAGAAAGCTGACTGCCGAAGGATTGATGCTTTTGAACGGTGGTGCTGGAGGAGACTCTTGAAAGTCCCCTGGACTACAAGGAGAACAAACCTATCCATTCTGAAGGAAACCAACCCTGAGTGCTCACTTGAAGGGCAGCAACTTGTGATGAGTTTTGGGTTGCCTCTGGTCTCACATGGACTCTGCAGCTTGAGCTGAAGTGCCCCTGTACAGGTTTGGTGGACAGGGGAAGTGAGCTTCCCATCAAAATTCTCAGCTCTGGTGTATTTCACTGGAGGCTCTGCCCAGGTGCAGTAACCCAGTTCTGTGAGTCACAGACCCCAGTTGAAGAACAATTTCTCACATGCACACACAATCCTAAAATGTGTCGTATTTCAGTAACACTTTGTAGGCTAAGCTGAATTGGAGAAGAAAGAAAAGTGGAATGTTCCCAAACTCAAAAAATCTATCTAAACAGGTGCCTGCCTGGGAATATCTAAGGATGCTAACCTCAGTTTGAAGCCTCCATAGAGTCTCAGTGGTTCCAGGAATCAAAGGGCTTTATTGGGGGGGTTCAATTGTTACTGTTTAACTTCCAAAAGCTGGGTCTCCTGTTACTATATTATTTTTAGTTCCTTCTTTCCTCAATTCAAATAACTGATAACCTTTTTAACCCTACAAATGAATGCTGGAGGGGATGCATCGGATCCACCACTTTGTTTTGCCCAAGGGGTGAAAAGTCAACCTTCGTGCCCCTGTGTTGCCCTGGAATCACATAAATATCCCTGATTTCATCTGGTTTTGCATATTTGCTCAAAGATAGTGCATGTGCCTAATCTATACTGTTAGAAAGCGTAAGTTTTATATAGAAATGCCAACGTTTCTGTATCTCTTAAAAATCTAGTTTCTTTTTTCTCTCCTGTAAATGCCTTGGTTTCTTTTTACATTCTTATTTAATAGTCTTAAACTGATTCTTAGTTAATGGCTTTGAATTTTATTCTTCTTTCAACTGCAAAGATGGACCAAGTGTTGCACATCATAGCGCTGTGTTTTAACTCTATGCCTCTATTTGTAGCACTACAAGGAGAAAATATTGGAGGGACGTTTGAATCTTCTGAGAAATATTACACATCTTGCCTTCTTTGCAGTATGGTAAGGGACTAGATTAATTCCAGTTTTCATTATGCACGTGTGGGATTAAAGTGTACACTGATCCTAGCATGATCCTAAGCTTTTGTTCAGTGTTCTTTAATTTATTTCTGAAATGCAGCCTCTGAACTGCAAAGTTGCAATAGACATTCCATGCTCTTGGGGATACAGCAATTTTTCTTCATGTTCTTTATGTTTAGTCCACTCACAGATGTGATGTGATGTACCTACTACATATGGGGGGAGGGGAGAAAGCTCATGTCACCTAGAAAATTTTGTGCACATCTTCCCTCTACTCGCTTTCTCATATATTTTGTTAAATATTTTGTAAAACATATCAGGGTTGGACTAAATGACACAGTTAGTGCATCATTAGAACCAGACCTCCCTTAAGAAGTAAAAGAAGTTCGTATACCCTAGTACAAATGTATGTAACACTGTATTTCGCAAATTAGCTTCCTTTAGTTTCGAAATTGGTCATGAGGAGGTAAATGTGGGCTTCATTGACACAAACACACACACACACTCTCCCTCTCTGTTTGAAGGAAAGATGTTGTGTACCCAGAAATACACATTTTCTTAATGTAAGATTTTACTTTCAGTCAATAAATTCTGCATACCCAGGGCAATTGGTTGGATCTTAATGTTCTTTTTGGCATGAATGAGAGAGAAGTAAGGTTACCAAGTCTCTGAGATTTCAAAAGATGAAATGTTCTGTTAAACTTTTCTTCGAAGGACCTTGTTATCAGCAGTTTACGAATACTTTAGCTATCAATACAGATCAGGCTAATCAATGAATACAAACTATATAAAGGGTAGAAAAGCCTTTCACTTTGTATAAACTGGTGTGGCTCATGCAGTGGAATTTGGTGTAACAAGCATAGAAGCGAGCCTCCCTGTTTTTAGAAGGGATGCCATGGGGAGGCAGCATAACTATGACAATGATATTTCTTCCAGACTCTTCCAGAAAAAAATTGGCCAGAGATTGTCTGGGACCCAGGAAGGAACCGTGAAATCTACAGGTAAGCACCAGGGATGGGATGTTCTGGTTGCAAAGAAGGGGAAACAACAATACTTTTCATTTTCATATCCTTTAGTATATTTCTGAACTGCAGTCTCTGAATCATCCATTTGACTGAATGAGAGGAACACAAAGATTCGTGTTTATTTGTGACTCCTTTGTTCATTGTACCTTCTTTGGATCTGCATATGTAACGTGTAAAGCTGCTGTCAAATCGCCACAATGGCTGTCAGTTGACACAACAGTGGGCAGGAAGTCTGAATCTTTGAAAAGGCCTGGAAAGTTGAGAGGCTTGATCTTTGTTAATGGTTCCTTGTTAGATGGCTGTGCTGAACTCTTCTCCTGCCGTCCTCCATTTTGGATCGCTCATTGTTATCTGCCACCATTTTGGATTCCTTCCTTTTCTTGCTCTTTTGATTGATTGGTTGGGGGAATCGTTTTCCTGACTGCCGTGCCTGCTTGCATAACCTAGTGGACTGTGTTCAGCATGTGCTGCTGGACTGAGAAGGGGTAAGCGAGATCTCCCCAACCAGGAAGAGGGGTTGACTTGTGAGAGGATCATGTTTCTTGCCCTTATTTCCCCCTTGCCAATCTTGGTTTGGGGAAGAGACGTCCCTGTGTTTTAATTTGATATTTTTTCCCTCCTAGGTGTGATGGGAGGCACTCTTTCTCCTTGTTTGAATGATGTTCTTTATATTGCTGTTTGGCTGTGTACATATTTATTCTAGGTAAAGTTGCTTTTTGAGAGTAACTTATTTACTGTAGTAGGAAGATTATGGGCTGTTTCTCATGGAATGTGAAGACTGGCTGCCTCCTGTATCTCATGCAGAAATAATTAGATGTCTCAGAGCACTCCTTGGTCTTCCATGTTGCCACCCGGTATGACACATTGCAGTGTTTGATGGAGCAGTGGCTCATGGTTCACCAGCTTGGCCTCTTGAGATTGAAACATGGATCCTATCCACACTGATCAAGACATTGTGCCTCAAGTCATGGTTATCCTGAAGTCATTCATAGGGGTTAAAAGAGTCTCTGTGCAGGGCCTTGGTGGGCTGGGAAATGTCCTTCTTCTTGTCAACCTCCTGAAGGCTAAGATGCAGTGTTTCCTCAATAAGGCTGAGGAAATTGCCTGTGACAAAAACCTTTCTCCATTGGTTGCCTGCTCAGCTCAGAGATTTTTGCTCTGGCCATGATTTGCATCTTTTGGGTCAAGGTGTCTCTGGCTGGGAAGGTGCCAGGAAGCCCCGTAGGCTTGTGTGATGCTTGTGTGATAGCATCAATGGAGGACTGGTGCTGCTGTGGCTGAGGCAGGCGTGGTTGGGTGGAACATGGGGAGGAAGGGCAGCTTGGCCCTGGCCATCCACCCACCTCTGTGGCAACCAGCACAAGTATCTTCGGCAAAGCTATTGCTTTTCTCCTAGGCATCATCAGTACAGTTCCCACTCTTAGTGGCGGATGGGTGGAGGTGGAGTGGATTGAGTAGTAACAGACAACCCAGATCTCAGAAACCTACCATAGATCACTCGGAGTACTGCGTAGAGAAGAGAGAGGTGTGGAGGGCCCTTGCCAACACTGCCATTGGGCTGCTGTCTTGTGCCCACCCAGTCCACTAGCATGGAGAGTGAAGACTCTGTCGGCTGGCGGTGTCCTGATGCCAACCCATTCCTGCCTTCTGGGTGACAGAGTGGAAGAGCTACTATTCCTAAAATTTAACCTGCCTTCTTCTAGAGTACTGCACCCTGTCCATAGACGGAGGAAGTCTAGCAAAATAAATGACCTTCCACTGTCAAAGTAAACTCTTTTAACTGACTGGGCAGCCTTGTCAATGGAGGGTATCTGTACAGTAATAAAGCTCTGTGCAATGTTCAGAAGTCCTTCCCTGAAAGATTTCCTTCCCTATAAATGCACCTCCATACTGGGTGTCTGTGCAGGAAAGTTCTTCTTCATGGGAGTCCAAATCCTCTGCCAGCCTCGATTCTTGACTGAAGCCAGTGTTTACTAGCACTTGCCTCTGTCTGCAGAAGACTCTCACTTTCAATGGACATCACTGGAGAAAGCATTTCTCATATCCTTAGGTCAGTTGCTCTTACGGCAACCAAGAGGTAGGAATGAGTAACTGACGCGGACTTTGACTACCTTTGTGGATTTTAACCAACCACTATAGGCTGTGACACGAGTGGAATCAGAAAGATGGATGCAAAATGTAAGAAAGTCAGTACATTTCCTTAAAAAAATAAAAGAAATGCAGGGAATCAGTTAACAGAAGGTTAGAACAAGGAAAAGCATGTGTGGTCTAAGTTCTTAAATATGTTTTTACGTTATGACTTGCCCCAAACATCACATTAGAAAGAGGTTTTTTTTCCAATCATGTGAAGAGGTGGTTCCCAAATTACAAGCCTGACTGAAAACAGCACTTAGTTTAAGTGGTTCAAGAAGATACGAAAAAGGTATGCGGGTGTTCATTGTAATCTTAGAAAGAGTTTGCCTTCTTTAAGTGTTTTCCCTGTTCACTCTCCTAGTTCCTTATCTTGACAGGAAAAAGGCATAAGGATCTCAGGATGTGAAACTTATAGCCAAATGTTTATATAATAATATTACAATATATTGTAGGGAAACTATTACACTACCTGAGTTTACACTATTTAAGCCATTGTCCTATTATCTTCTTCTTTTATTTTTTTTTATTTTTTTCTGTATTCAGATTAGACGTCACTGAAGCTGGTTCCATACGTTGTGGTATTACTGATCTGATGTTTGATATAAAAAAAGCTGTAACCATAACATATCACTTTGATTCATGGTCTGGTTACATGGATGAGGTCAAGAGGGCAGACTTGATGGTAGCCGGGCCTTTGCTCAACATACAGGCAGAACCAGTAGAAGCCGTGGCAGCAGTTCATTTTCCTCACTTTTTGTGTCTTGCAGGTACGTTAAGAAAAAAAAATGATAATAATAAAACTAGGATTAGAAGAGCAGTGGTTCCCAAACTGTGTACCGTGGCTCCATGGGACACTGGCAAACCAACCCAGGGGCACTACAAAATCCTCTCATCCTTCCTCCCTCACCCATAGCACCCTACAGCACTTACTTCCAGTTTCTCTGGTGTCCATGGATGGTGCAGAGAGGGAATCCTGTCCCAGTCTGGCCAAAGGACTGGGTTTCCTGCCCTCCTGTTTGCAAGGAAACTTTCCCTACTCTCCGCCTGCAAAAAAGGGGCGTCTCCATTTTACCCAGAAGCTATCTCCCTTAGAGAAGTCAGGCCATGAGGGCATTTCCATTAAGCTACTTGCATACAGTGGGACCCCCACATCTGCTGGACATTGGTTCTAAGCTCCCCCATGGATACTGAACATGGATAACAGCCAACACTCTATATATAGCATGGTAAAAAGAGGGTAGCTGAGGCTCCAGTACTTTGGCCATCTCGCGAGAAGAGAAGACTCCCTGGAAAAGACCCTAATGTTAGGAAAGTATGAAGGCAAGAGGAGAAGGGGATGACAGAGGACGAGATGGATGGACATTGTCATCGAAGCTACCAACATGAATTTGACCAAACTCCAGGAAGCAGTGGAAGACAGGAGGGCCTGGCGTGCTCTGGTCCATGGGGTCACGACTTAATGACTAAACAACAACAGGAGGGGGGGAACCCCCAGAAAAATTACTTTCACTTGCATTACCAGAACTGACTACTAGAGGGTGCCAGAGACCCTTAATGACTAAACAACAACAGGAGGGGGGGGGAACCCCCAGAAAAATTGCCAGAGACCATGCTATATATTCTTCACTAACAAATATTGATAGCATAGTCTCTGGCTCCCTCTAGCAGCTGGTTCTGATAATACACATGAAAATAGTTTTTTTTTCTGGGCCGTGGATAAGTGAATCAGTGGATGCTGATCCCATGGATAAGAGGGTCCTACTGTATAGCATTGTCTCTGATTCTATCCAGTCCAAGTAATATACCTGGGGCAGATGTATACACGTGCTCCAATTTTTAATTTTTTTTCCCCGGCAGTAGATAAGTGAAACTACAGGTACTGATCCTGTGTATATGGCAGTCTGACTGTACTGGGGAGATGCGGCCAGTGGCCACTAGGTCAAGGAAGTCATGAGTCTAAAAAGTTTGGGAACCACTGCTAAAGAGGAATAATTAAAATCTGCATTTCCTGTTCAAACATGTTCCTTTTGTTGTCTCCATCACAGCTCTCTTGATGTTGTTTCACTGAGACCACCAGGCCTTGCATTTCTTCACTGCAGTGTTTGCATTTTGCATGCTTAGCCGTAGGTAGAAGAACTTTCTGAAAATATTCCCAAGCTTGGTCTCTTTTGCGGCCTCCTGCCATTATAGGTTTTCTCCTCCAAGGAAAGAATAATTTGATAAACCTCAGGCTATACTGTACACAAAAAGATCCAAAGACTTGTGATGTATTCTGCTCAATAGGTGTCACTTTCATTTTTACTGACTGATCCTCCCTCCTTACTCTTAGCTTCTTCTGAAGATCTATTCTACTCCAATCAATATAATTCTATTCACTGATTTATTTATTTTTTTGAAACTTTGCACTTAAGAGGTAAGGGATTGATTCTGTGTACATAGAATTGCAAAGGAACAATGGGATTAAAGTCTTTTTCTCACCTCTATATGTTTATTTTATAATATTTCTCCTGTGAAGCAGAGGCATGTGATCTATGCAGACAAATTCACAGTTTTGAGAATTGCAATACCAAGCATGATGCTGATTATCTTCTAAATAGAAAAATTGCCCAATAATCATACAGAAACCTCTGGAAGAGGATGACATTTTGAGCAAATTAATGGAGTTCATTTAACAAAAACTTTAAACGTTGAATGAATATACAGCTTCATGCTACTTAATTAAAAACTAATCCTTATTTTATGACAAATATCTTTTGGATTATACTGTATCTTAAACAGAAAACTATCTTCAAATAAATATTTCCTTGAGAAAGATTTTATTTTTAAAAAAAAAATCAAATTAGAATTTTAAAAATCTGTTTTTAAAGTTATTTTTTTAAAAAATAATTCACTTTAATCCACCCTGAGGCTGGTTCATTGTATCTTAGAAGGTACTCGTTTATATATTAGATTGTTTCATTTGTCTATCATATTCTGTTTTAATTTTGCAGCATCTTTTTACTGTATTGATCAGATCTATGCAACGTGCTTCAGCGAATTGCCACTAATTAACAAGATGCTGCCATGTGTCTCACTCACACGCCTGAACTCCTGCCCAACTGCATAACCAAGATTTGCTTCTATACCTTGGCAATTAGCTGTGATCAGCCACTGCAAGTTATGTACAGTAAATGTTATGTAAATGGCAATAAGATTCCAGCTGTTTTTTTGTTTTTTGTTTGTTTGTTTTTTGTTTTCTTGAGAAGACCTTTCAATGTAAGGTGATCAAGGAGCATGACAATTAACTAATTAACAACATCTTAGCATGAAGCAGGGAAGGAGAAGCAATACAGCTTGGCAAAAACATCCCAGTTTTATACCTTGCAATTGTTACATCTTTGCCCATATGTTCTTTTGGCAGGTGGAGGAGATAATGGAGTCCGCATAGCACATTTCAATAAAGGGACGATGATTCTGCGGAGACCAGATAGAGTGGAGGGTTTTCATGTTATATTGTACAACCTCAGATTCTCCCCTTGTGCAGTTGTTCTTGAAAAGTCATGGCTTAAGCAAGAGATAAAGGTCCATGCCATAGTACTACTCTATCAGCAGCCGAAATACCTAAACTCAATGCTTCATCTATATGTCCTCCCCAGTGATTCTTCTCTAAAAAAGGTGATTGGATCTATCCAACTCTGTAAGGTGCTACAGATTAGTTCATAAAGTAGCTCATATTGGTTCTAAAGGACTACCAACATGTATTCTCGATATTCTCATGTTGCTTCAGGGGGTGTCATTACAGCTGACTTCTGCTCCCACACATGGAGTATTTTCTGAAGTTTGTAAAGTATGAGTAAACACTAGAATGATAGTCAACAGCAAGTAACTTTTACAAGATCAAAAGAAATCCTCTTGAATTATTGGGCCAGATGTAGATCCATGGGCCAAACAATGCTTCTCACTTCTTCAACAAGGGAGTAACCTACAGTATGTTGTTTCACATAATACTGAATGATAGTTCTCTGTACCTTTAAACATTGGCTGTGCTGGCCGGGGCTGATGGGAGCTGGAGTTCAAAAATATAAAGAATGCAATTTTCCCCTGTAGCGTTTTGGATGACAGTGTGGCCACTCAGCTATGACTACAATGGCAAGTAATGTGGAAAATGCTCCAAAACTGGGACAATCTGATTTACATTATTTTACCTTGATGGCATGACATAAAATCTGTGCAAATCAGGGAAGCGAAGGGAAGGGAAGAAGTAGATCTAGGCACCATATTCAAACAATTGACACGTTTCAAACAGGGCTGATTTCTTCCCCCTCTCTGGTGACCCCTATGGGGTTGCTGAAGCAAATTGACCCAGGAGAACACGGCTTCACAGCAGATGGGTTGCTTACTCCCCATTGTGTAGTAACAGGCTTAGTAAACAAAGTAAGTTTATGCTGCAGTTTTAAGGACTTCACCTAAAGCCTTAATTAGAAATAGTTCATTAGGCATCCTTCAGTCCCGAAAGACTATGGTAACGTGCTCTGTATGGAGGACTTGGAACAGCGTTAGTGTGGCTGAGATGGCCAATTCGAGAGTGACAATCCCTTCCACACTGAAGACAAATCCAATTTGTCCCCTGACCCTGCTTTTGTGACTTCCTCTTTGCCTCGGCCTGCTGAACAAGGTTCTCTTCAAATTGGGAGAGGCTGTGATGCAACGCCTGCCTCCAGGCTGAACGCTCAGATGTCAGGGTTTCCCATCCGTTGAGGAAAGCCCTTCAGATCCTGCTTGCAGATGTCCTTGTATCACAGCTGTGGTCTCCCTCTGGGGCCATTTCCCTGCACTAATTCTCCATACAGGATTTCTTTTGGAATCCAACCATCAGCCATTCTCACGACATGCCCGAGCCCACGTAGACGTCGCTGTTTCAGTAGAGTATACATGCTAAAAATTCCAGCTCGATCTAGGACTACTCTATTTGGAACTTTGTCCTGCCAGGTGATATAAAAATGCGTCGGAGGCAACACATGTGGAAGGTGTTCGGCTTCCTCTCCTGCCATGCACAAAGGGTCCAGGACTCAGCGCAATACAGGAGTGTGCTCAGGACACAGGCACTATTGATCTGGATCTTGGTATATGCCATCAGCTTCTTATTGAGCCATACATTAGAAATAGTATTCCTACAGAATAAATGTATTTAATGATGAGCAGAGCTCCCTCGATTCATAGAGTAACCGGGTTACAAAAATCCTCAGAGAAGATTTGGAGGGAAAAATGGTTGACAGTGTTGGCACATGTGAGCATTATTACTAATTCTTCTTATAGTTGTCAACAGCAATACTGTTCCCTATGAAAAGATTCCAGATCTCCAAATGTTGAGCTTCTTCCCTCCCTCCTTCACCTCACCCTAATTTGTTTATCACACTTAAAATGATTTACAAAGTTTTATAACAAAAGAAAAACCAAGAAAAGAGTTTCTAAAATCTAATCACTACAGTTTATTTGCAGAAAATGTCAGCCATTTGCTTTTTCTAAGTGAGAAACTTGAGCTACTCTAAATTTGTTAATAGGTTTCCTGTCCTTTAAAATATTTCTTTAAGAAAAAAAAATATTTGCACAGGCTGGTGTCAATGATGGTGAGACAAAGTTGAGATGACCCTCTTTATTGATAACAGAGAGAGGAGATAACCTATTTTATTATTCCATGTGAATTTTTTAAAAAAACTTTGTTTCAGTTTTTATTTTGTTTACGTACAACAAAGACATAAAGCGAAGCAATAGTGCATCTGTCACCCCAGGGATCATCCATTAATACAATATAGATAGATAGATAGAGAGAGAGAGAGATAGAGAGATAGAGAGATAGATATAGATAGATATAGATATAGATAGATAGATATAGATATAGATAGATAGATATAGATATAGATAGATAGATATAGATATAGATAGATAGATATAGATATAGATAGATAGATATAGATATAGATAGATAGATATAGATATAGATATATTGAAGAGTCAGTGTCTAGTGACAATCTGGCTTAGTCTTCTTTAGCAGCCACGCAAAGGATTTAAAAGGTGTGGAAGGAAAGAGCTGAATTCTGCTCCTGAGATCCTCCAGCCTGTAAGAAAAGGATCTGGTTCTCCAGAATGTTCGTGTGTCTCAAAAGAGACCTTGTTTATTCTTTCCAGGCTGTATATGGCATCGAAGATATTCTCTGTTCACGGAGATTGCTAAAACCTCCTGGCACGAGATATCCTCTGAAGTTTGGATCTCGCTTATTTCTGAGTACGTCAGATGGTTCTAAAGTCTTTTCAGAGGTAAGATACCATATTTCCCAGATGAAAGTGAAGCTATTATGAAAATTGAGGGAAACCCAATTTCTTTAGTTTTTTGTTCAGCTATGGGCAAAGAAATATTCACATAGAATTTTCATTCCTTCACACAGGAAGTAGTATTTAAATACACATCGCCAGGCAAAATGCAAGAGTTGTTTTTCCTGGATGTTCGACAAATGAAAGATGAGCTGGAGCTGAACCTCATGGAGGAAAAGCAGGATGTCCCGGTCTGGACAGCCCGTGTGAGAAGAGGTGAGCTTGGATCAGGAGAGGACTCCATGAGGACTGGAATCAATTTTTGGAGGCAGGTTTGATATGGACATTCCAGTTACATTCCCTCTCTAACTTCCTCTTCCCTCTTCTCTTTCAGAAGAACTGTTGCTCAACCCAATATTAGGTGAGCAGGAATCTGTGGGAAGCAATCTGGAAGTTAAGTCTTTTCCAAAGAAAGAAACCTCTTGGCTAAGTTTTTGTGGTTTTAAAGCATAGGCATCCTTCAGTCTCGAGAGACTATGGTAACATGCTCTGTATCAAGGAGTGTCCTCTCGAGAGCATGAAGCCTGGGTAAAGTAATATGGAGGATAGGCTGTTACCCAAGCAACAGATCCCCTCTCTCCACATTGCTGAAATGGTCCAGTGGAAAGGCAAGAGCCAATACAACTGATTCCAGCAACGTCGCAGGAGTTGGCAGAACGACACGAACTGTCTTCGGGACTCCAGCTCCGGATTTTGCCTCGAGGTTAACTCCTGAAGCCTTTTCCATGAGTGGATATAGCCACAAGGCAGTGGAGGTTTGAAATTGGAGTTTTCCTTCTCCAAAAGCTCTATATCAAACTATGTGTGTCTTTATGCATACAAAAGAGTTCTGTATTTTGAGCATCTGGAGTCATCTGATAACAACAAAATATCGCTAAGCGCAGGAACTTTTGCCATAGATATATTTATTTACTTGAAGTAATGAGTGAGACCAGTCTGTCTTGAGGATGTATTCAGTGCGTATTCTGTGCCATAAAGCTACTTCCAATATATTTTGACCCTATGAAATAACATATTCTGAAAGATCCTGTGCAGATTATGCACACTAAAGGCCATGGCTTCCTTTATGGAATCAACCCATCTCATGCTAAATAATTCTCTTTTCCTGCTGCCTTCCATTTCTCCTAGCATTTTTGTCCTGTACAGTGCATCTTGTCATCTTGTGATATAGCCAAAGTATGACAGCTTTGGTTTCAGCATTTTTGTTTTTAGAGACAGCTCAGGCTTGATTCGATCTAGCACCCACTTTTTTTCTCTTTCTGGCAGTCCATCTTATCTCTAAAGATCTCCTTCTATAGGAATTCAACTCTCTAAAATACCTCTAGTTTTTTTAGAGAGTGTGGGATCCCAGAGTGTGGGATATTGTGTTTTGTGTCCACGATTCAAAATATCGGAAATGGCCTGATCCTATCATTCGCAAAGAGAACCAAGGAAAGGAAAGTTTTGGAAGCTGCCCTCTTTTTCATCAGTTAACAATTTCTCTCCCAAATACAAAGCACTTTGGCTGGGTTTTTTTTTTTTACAAGTGTGAATAAGAGGGTATCCTGCAGACCATCCTGACTACTACCATCGATGTTGCCATCACTAAGCTGCCCTTTGCTGTGTAAAGCTTGGCGTCCTTTTTTTGGTGGAAATACAGGCATGGTATTGTGCAGCAATACTGTGTCATTCTCTAGCATTTTGAATCATAGATTCAAATACCGCAGTATCCCATTCATAAACCAGAGATTTTTTAAGAATTGAATTTCCTGTTGTTGTTTTTAAAAAAATCATGCAGAACTACCCACTGCTAAATGGTCCCAGAAGACGAGCACATAATCTTTATTATGTTGCTGAGAGAGGGCAGAAATAAGAACAGCTAGGATGTAGCTGTGGTCCCTCTGTTCCAAAATACAGTGGTGCCTCACTTAGCGATGTTAATCCGTGCAGTAAAAATCGCTACTAACCGAAAACATCGCTAAGCAATCTTAAAAAGCCCATAGAAACACATTAAAACTTGTTTAATGTGTTCCTATGGGCTTGAAAACTAACCTTAAGCGAAAATCCTCCATTGCGGCGGCCATTTTCGGTGCCTCTAAAGCAAGGCAACACAGCAGGTGGCCATTTTGTTTACCAAGCAGCCATTTTGGAACCGCCGATCAGCTGTTAAAAAATCGCTTTGTGATGATTGGTAAGCGGAACAGGGTACCGATCATCGCAAAGCGATTTTTCCCCATAGGGAACATCGCAAAGCGATCACAAAAGTGATCGCAAAAACATTGTCGCTATGCGGTTTCGTCGCTAAACAGAGCGCCCGTTAAGCGAGGCACCACTGTATTTTGAAAAGTTATTTTGGACTTAGTGAAATAGTGAAGCAAAGATATGAGTAAGTAGAACACATAAAACAGGAGAACATATACACCCTTTAACAACTCGGGTAAACTAATGTTGTCATGCCCATTCCACAGAATACAGACTAAAACACCATCTTCCAATTTGCAAGCTCTTTCCTTGGGGTTGGCAGCCTGAGGATTTCATGTTGGTTGCTTCGCAGACACTGTCTAGCCATCTCATCCTCTGTCGTCCCCTTCTCCTCTTACCCTCACACTTTCCTAACATCAAGGTCTTTTCCAAGGAGTCGTCTCTTCTCATGAAATGGCCAAAGTACTGGAGCCTCAGCTTCAGGATCTGTCCCTCCAGTGAGCACACAGGGTTGATTTCCTTGAGAATTGATAGGTTTGTTCTCCTTGCAGTCCAGGGAACTCTCAAGAGCCTCCTCCAGCACCACAATTCAAAGGCATCAGTTCTTCGGCAGTCTGCTTTCTTTATGGTCCAGCTCTCGCTTCCATACATCACGACAGGAAAAACCATAGCTTTGACTATTCAGACTTGTTGGCAAGGTGATATCTCTGCTTTTTAAGATGCTGTCAAGGTTTGTCATTGCTTTCCTCCCAAGAAGCAGGCGTCTTTTAATTTCATGGCTGCTGTCTCCATCTGCAGTGATCATGGAGTCCAAGAAAGTATAATCTGTCACTGCCTCCATATCTTCCCCTTCAATTTCCCAGGAGCTGATGGGACCAGTGGCCATGATCTTGGTTTTTTTGATGTTGAGTTTCAGGCCATTTTTTGCACTCGCCATTTTCACCCTCACTACAAGGTTCTTTAATTCCTCCTCACTTTCTGCCATCAGAGTGGTATCATCTGCATATCGGAGGTTGTTGATATTTCTTCCGGCAATCTTAATTCCGG